AATTATCTCCTGGAGATGAAAAATGCACTCACGCTTATTTTTCACAGCTGGCTTTCGAAAATGCCGGTATGCATTTCGTGGAGATGAAGGAAAAATATCAGATGGAACAGCACTGTGTCAAGTGATATACTTCAGAATACTACTTTACTTGAAATTTCTGGATGAGGAGAACATATTGCACAATAAATTACTCTGAGAATTCTGTAGACTGTGTGTGTACACGTTTCATTCAGAATAAGGCTACTATTTTGATGTGGTTGTGTTCTCTGAGCTGGATAGTTAATTTGCGAAGCTTTCATCATCCTACTAGGTGACATCTTCAGCGCATACTTCAATTTGAAGTGAGCTTTTAGATTTCTTCACGAGTTTATTAATCATCTACCCCGGTGACCATGGACGTGATTGGTTGTGTTTGTGTGTTTTCACACCTTCTAGGCTACTTGTATTGGAACTGATTGTTTCTTTGACTTGAACTTTGACCCTTTGTGTATGAGGTTTCTTTCTTATCGGTTGATCGGTCCACTTTGGCCAACGTAGTGTTTTTCGCACTTGTTACAATTTATTTTGTAGATGATGTTGGTTTTATCTTCTTTCGCTGTTGAGTCTTTTGGTTGACATAGAACTGGGTGAAGTGATTTTGTTGGTTTGTGTACGACGTCAATTCCTAAAGGTTTGATGAGTCTTGCAGTGATTTCTGATATTTCTTTTATATATGGTAGGGCGACTTTCTTTGTGCTTTCCTTGGGGGCTTTTGCTTTGATAGGTTGGCTTGGGAGTATATGTCTTTTGATGAAATTCCGTGGATATCTATTCTTTTGGAAGACGTCCATGAGACATCTTTCTTCAATTTTCTTTAAGGTGGGAGTGCTACTACTACAATTATTATTTATTTACTTATTTACTTTTATTTATCATTAGTTTATTTATTCTATGATATTTAAGCATGGCTTTATAATGAGATTGCTACCTTTTCTAGCTTGTGACATGTAGGCAGAAATCAAGCATTTCCCTGCAGTTAGTGGATTAAAGATAACTTTCACACCTTCTAAAAAACATATTCTTATGGAAATTTATTCAATGATTAGAATAATTCGGCTAATTCTTTATTCAATTTGTAGTTTAACCTTTACCATGAGCTTTTCTGTAGTGCCGTTCAATTCAAATAATAGGAATTTTCTCATTTAAAAAAAAAATTCTAATCTTCCTTTATATGCATTCAAACGGAATTCTCACTACCCTAATCACTTGTTAAGAAACACGTGTGTTAATCATTCGTCTGGTAAGTGAATTTCACGTTTTACAAAGAATACATTCAAATTTCAGTTATTGCAATGACTAAAATGTCTTTATTGTGACTTTTTAAGTTGAATTGAATTTCTTCACAACACGTTTTGAGTATTCTACTTTATACAAATGATTTTATTTTACCACTTTTAAATACAATTAAAAAGCTTCTTCCCTTATGACTCAATGACTGGTAAATCATATTGCAGTGTCGTCAGAAAAAGACGCAGATGTAAGCTGCCATACTTTGAAGAATCAAACAAATCAGAGAAATGTCATGATATTTACATCAGGAAAACGTGAAAAATAAAAAACTGTGAAATCAATGATTGATTGGTGGTGAAAATGCCGAAAGTGTGGAAGGTGGCAAGGAATGAATGGACCTTTGCCACTGTATATATGGTTCTGAGCCTTTTCACCAACTGCCTTCAACTATCGTCTCTTAACACTGCAATAAACGAAGCGGAGAAATATTAATATCCCACCATAATTCATGAAGTCGCATTATAAAAGGATGAAAAAGTCTGTTTCTTATTCTTTCTTTAACAATCCTAGTCGTCCAAAAAGTATCCAGATATGCGTTAATATATCAAAAAAAGCATTTCACGTACATCAAACTCAGATAGTAGCTCTTTGCTTGTTTCAGCAGCTGCTAATAGAGACGGATGTTGGATGTTCCTTATCAGACCAGATGATGGAATGACATCACCTAGAGAAGTATTGAAAATCTCGGTGTGCTGGTCAGCTAATTCGCCTTAGTTTAGAACTATTCAGCAGCACTCATCCAGGACCTTCAGGTCACAAAACCAGCCTGTGACAACTGCATGTCTACAAGAGGGAGTGCCTTAAGTTCTAGTGAGAAGTCTTGAGTAGTTAGGTCTAACAAGTCGGGTATGGGGACTAATGTTGACCAACGGCATTTACCGGTGGGGCTATGTAGCTTAGGAGTTAATATTTCATGAGCAGCTGGGTTCCGCCTCAGTGGATGAATAGTCAACGGGCGCGCCTAATGACCTGGAGTTCTTGGGTGTGTACTATTGAAGAGTCATGGAAAAGCTGCTGTTCCATGTTCGATGGTTTCTAATGCCTTACTAACTGATGTTAGTTCATGATCTGCCTTGAAGCTATTCAGATTCCTGCAAACACTTGAAAACTTGGCGAATCATCAAATAAAGTAGTTTCCTTTGTTTTCTGTTACATTACTGAGTCAAATCTTATTTCACTGACTGAATGACTGAGTTGTAAGCGTGGAACTTCGCAAAGAAATGCATCAGTTCAAGCTGTTACATTCCATTTAGTACAAAAAGGTAGAATAAAGAAAAATAAAGGAGACTCGTGAGAACTACAATAAAGAGAAACGTGAGGAGGAAAGATCAGTACACATTTTTTGACTGGTGATAAACTGCCAGATACACAAATAAATATTGAATTCTAACTCCTCACTAGTAACAGTGAATTGACAGAGTTTTAAGATTTTTGAGGAACGGAAGTAAAGATGAATGAAAATTTACCCACAACAAACGATATAGCTTAAACTGTCATACTTCGAGGAGTGTTAGAATTTCTAACTGTGAATAATGGTTGTAACAGAACTTTTGAACTATTTTACCAAACAACCAAACTAGTGCTAAGAATTTTAAATTTTGAAAAGAGGACCTTTCTCAGCAACGTATTAAGCATAACGAAATTATCATGAGTCATTCACTCTTCATGAAACACCAGATTTCTAGCTAGAACTCATTTTCAATTTTTCAAGGATTATCTTAGTAAAATTAATACAACATTAATTTCTGCTACTTGTTCCCAGGTGCATAACATTTTCAAATAGTTGCTCGGCTTAGTTCCTGTATGTATTCTAATCATTTCTGCAGTTTCACCACTGCATATGCCAAAAAATAAGTGGCATAAATTTAATTTCTTCAAATTATTAGTAAGGACTGCGTAGGGATTCACCCAACTGTGAATTACATGTTTTCATTTCATGTTACTTTGGGTTGTTAAATTGTACATAAAAGTGCTTGCAGGACTCTAACAACAAGTCGTATGACGCTACTTACAGCTGCGTTTGGAAACACTGAATAAAACCCAGATGCAAAAGAGTGAAAAGCCGCATCATTTAAAAAAGTAACATTGTGAAAACATCGTGTTGGCTTGAAGTAACTGCCACATTAGTGAAGGTCATGTGATAATTAACCACTAACTACAAAGTTTTAATTCAGTATTCGTCTGTCGGATATAACAATGAAGATGTGACTCTGACTGACACTCCGGCTTGTGTTCAGTTCAGAAAACCGTTTGGTGGACTAGATTTCAGTTTGTTGAAGAAAGAATCAAAGCGCAAGCTTCGAACAAAATTAGTCCAGCAAGGTATTATCAGATATATCAGTAGAGTAGTGTTGAAATTCTAGTGCAAGTTCTAGCAAAACTAGTACACGAACATAAACAGGTAACATTAGAACGAATGACTACGAGTACTGTTACGCTTATCCAACTCCACTGTAAGAGAGATTATTGTTACTGAAACTGATGTTTCGACCTTTGACACAAATTAAGACAGCACAGCTTTCGAAAACTTGAAGAAACAAAAAGACTTCATCGGAAACATGATAATGCACAAGTGAAGTAAGACTGCTGAAGTGTATTTAACATTAACAAATATGTGGTATTATTATTAGGATTCGAGGGCATATTTCCGGGGTCTAACAACACGCATTATTCGTCGTCTAACTGGGCGTAACTAATTATTTTAAACTTACATTTTCACGAATATCTTTAGCTGGAAAATGTGCAAGAAAACGTCTCCCATTATCAACACCACAGAAACACCAAAACTTTCCCAGAGGGGATTTTTAGAGTACTATTATGGACAAATATGGAGACACTATCTCAATTCTGACTTATTTGCACAGTGTCCTCACTCATACAGTATGAAATGGTTCTATATTATGATGCATCATACGATGGTGATACTGTTAGATGGGTGGGAGACACTATAAGAACAATTAAAATACTGTTTTAACAATCAAGTGAATGGTCGTTCAGATTCAGATTATAAGGATAGAAGCCTCTTGTTGCCTATGCTAATCCTTGCCGTTTATATATATATATATGTATATACATATATCTGCAGAGATTTAGTTTCTCTTTGAAAGAGTTCACCAATTGATATGTTACTACTGAATCAGGTAAGGAGTTCCAGACGCTGAACATTCTGTGAGAGAATCTAAATTCCACACGTATTCTGTTCGACCTTGGTTTGAGCACCTTCCTGTGGTGACTCCGTAAATATATTCTAGAGGGAGAGAAAAGATTTGAAAGTCCAATCCCTAAATTACCCTTGAATATACGGTAAGCCAAAATTAAGCCGCCTCTCCCCCTTTTTTACGATAATTGGAAGAGATTTAAATGCTCCATCCTCTCATCATAAGGAAAGTGTGAGATACTTCTAACTAATTTGGTTCCTACCCTCTGTACTCACTCCAGGAAATATGCCTCCTTTTTTAAGTATGGACTCACCGCTTGCATACAGTATTCTAGATGAGGTCCATTAACCGCTCAACCGTTCATTGAGTATAATCATTCACGTTTATGGCAGTTATACAAATTTGAGAAAGTGAATCAGTTTACTTTCCTGCAAACTGTTTCTTAAGTATGAAGGTTGAAAAGCAATGTGATTTTATACAATAATATGTACCTATTTCACATGTTACACTTACAATAATGTCTTCCCGGAAATGACGACCGCAAACGGAACATTGGATTAATGTGATAGATTCCACATTGGTGTCACCTGTAGAATAAACGTGTAAGCACGCTTGTTAAACTTACTGTCCATATTTGCTAATTTAACTGAAGAGAGTCATCAAGTCAACATTGGTTTCTACTGCAAATTGATGTTTGGTGCATTAAAACAAATTTTTATTTTCAGCTAAATCACTCAAGCTCGCGAGAAAATATGACTGCAGATCACGAATTTTTAATCTAGCTTCCATTTATATGAGAGGAATTAGCTAAAAGATACAGAGAGTTAGCCGTGGATTTTCAAATTCATGCTTTTGGAAGAAAAAGATGAGGAGAACATATTAAAGCTCAGAAAACTGTCTAAGAAACCGAGTTCTTATGTGAGGTTACTCTCTGCCTATCAACGTAACAGTGGAAACAAGTGTAGCAAACTTTCCAGAGCTGTTTCTCTTTTTCGTCGACAGAATTAGAACTTCTCTTCTTATACACCAATTTTCCCTTATATGTTTTAGCAGAGACATAGCAAAAGCTGATGCAGTAGTGTTCATCTTTCTTATGGCTGTTTAGGTTTCCTATTTCAGGTGAGTTGTGATATTAGGTGAGAGTAGATTCCGAAACTAATGGTAATAAAGCCCATGGTATTTTTTTATCGCCTAAAGCATAATGTTTAGCAGTGTGGTGACATCGCTGGATCTTAATTCACAACTGTTTCCAAGTCAGCAAACTTAATGGCTGTTGGTAGAGTGGGTTCATTTATTCAGTGGAGTTGCAGACTGCAATGGGATATGTTGCTGATTTTGGCTTTCAGACACAGTTTTCTGTGCGATTCAGTGGAAGAATCCAAATCTCCTTCCAAAATAAATATATTATCAGCGAACAAAAGGGAGGGAGTAACCTCACCGGTAAAAGTATCTTAACAATATATAAGTAAGTGTAAAGTAAATGGGCATAGTATCCACTGGAATTCAATCACTGACTTCATAAACCAGAAAATTTATTTTGTCCAAAGTAGGTCAGTCGGGCAAGAATAACCTGTCGCGAATCCCCGCTCTAACTTGACAAGAAGTTTATTTTCTTCGGTATGCCAGACAATAACATCGTAGACTATTCTTTTTGTGGTTAAACTACACTGCTAGTAGTACTTATATGGCGGTAGGTCTTAACACAACTTCAAACTCGCTCTCCGGAAGCGGCTTCGGATTGATTCACCTATCTAAGCAAAGTAGTGCCAATGTGAAATGCCTGCCAAATATGCACCACCATGACAAAAACATGACTGACCAGCGGAATGCAGCAGGTTACTTTCTTTCACCGAGTTTCTAGCGTCACTTTTCAAGCCCTCATGGAGAAGATTATTGCTAGCCTCATCTCCATTGTTCTTTTCTTCACATAAGGGAAAAGCGATTTGCCCCTATTTACTGCTTTCACGTATGTAAGTTACCCCATGGTCACTGCTTAGCACCTGAGTAATTGTGCAATAAGTTTAGGACAAATAATACGGTACAATTTACCAAATATCATGAGAATAATGCGAAGTCAGTTATGAAGGTTAGATTACCAGAACAGAGGATTTTAACTAGATCTGAAAATCTTCTGGGAAGCTCTGTGAGCCTGTGACTGTGATTTCTATACATTTCATGATCGTAAATTCGAATTTCATTACTCAGTTGCTAAACAACTAAATGAGGAATATATAAGTAAAGCCACTTGAGCAGATAAATAACTCCTTTTGGTTCCTCAGGCATAATGAATGATTTCAAAATCCATCCTTTTTGACAGTCTACAAAGCCAGCTAGTTGGTCTGCTTAGTTGGTTTTTAACTTGATTCCGGTTGGTTCCGACTGGAAATAACTCTCACGATGGGTATGTGACTACCAATACTACTGAAGCTGGGCTCTACCATGGCTACCTCCTGACTCTTTACCCTGGCCCACCTAACCTAGCGGCCAGGCTCCTCTTAACACCACCTCAGCTAGCGAAAAGAGAATACAACACCTACGGCTGCTGAAAGATGCATATATTGTCGATATGGAGAGAGTGAATAAGTCAATGATCACACCACAACAAAGCTCTCAAGCTCTTGTTCCCTGAAAATTATATTCACCACCATGTGTTTCACTGGATGGACTTATAGGTCATGCTGATTAAAATTTCGCTTGGAAAAATTATTTTGTCAATGTGTTTTAGTAAAACTGTGTTATATGTTATCTGGATTGATGGGAATTTTCATTTCCTGACTAGTTATGTTGGTGGCCGCTTCATGTGATCTGAGTGCGACACATTGGTTGCAATGATTAGTGTTTCAGGTGGACTGTGTCAAAATAGAGCTATAATGAGCAAGATGGGATAGTTGGAGGGTAATGTCATTAAAACAAATAGTCTACCATATGTAGGAGATTCACCTTTCGGCACAGTATCATTCAATGAAGACTTCACGTCTCAGGATATCAATGCAGCCTATTTTCGTGCGAAGAACACTACTATTTGACAAAAGAATGCTATCTCAACATGGAAATCGGCCAAGTTAAACTTTTAGCACCACTGACCACCAATCAGGAAGTTACCTCGTATGGTCCAGTGAGGTTCATGCACGTGAGTTGAAGGTTGTATACCACTTCATTGGAGTCAAATACCTACTATAACTCAGTTGCGTTTCAGTTTTGTGAGGATCAAGTCTTACAGTATTTCTTAGATGTGTGGGTGATTTAGAAATAAAGGGTTCGGGTGACTGTAAACTATAGCAGCCCACAACGAAACTACCTCTAGCAACCAATCAGATTCGAAGGAAATAGAAGTGCGCCATTTGAAACAAACGTCTATGCACAAGTATTGCAATGTTGAAAAATTGTTACATAGGATAATATTCTTTTACATCTTCCAAAAATCCTCCCAGTTCCATACAGTTCTCATAGTCAAGTTATACTAATTTCCGTAAATAAATTCTTACGCCCGTTTCTTGAATACGACGTGTTCTTTCCACTCCAACTGGAAAATACCTATTTATCCGCTTGGAAAGCCTGAACTCCCTAGCCTGTGAATTAAATTCAACCATTACTTACATATCAGATCTCTGTGTGGTAAGTCCAGCTGTCTCGAACTACTGCTAAAGCTTCAGGTGTTACTTCTCTAGCAGCACCTTCCTCACTCACTCAGATAAATATTGTTTGTTTGTCTACCACGTAATTTTTGTGAAGCCAGTTAACCAAAATTACCAGGTAAGGTCGAAAACCTTTTCTTTTCCTTGTCTTGTACTTTATCGGTCTCATTCTTTTTATTTTTGATAGATACTGTTGCTCTCACTCTTATATAACAGAAGTTATAGTGACTGTCAATATGGCTGTTGAAAGTAGCCTTAGGAAAAGCACTAAAACACCATACTCTCTAGTCACAAGGGCTTCAGCCAGAGGAGGCAATAACTCAGGGACATCAACCCTATCTCGCAAACCGATTCTAAAGACCAGTGTACATCTCGCCTTTTCTGACACTACGCCTACATTGCCACCGTTTAGCAGTGAAACAGCACAGGCGATACCAGGTGGACACCATACTACGCGTGTATCTATTGGAAGCCAGCGCGTGACACACGGGAAAACAAAAAAGAAACGCCCTTGGCACCATAAGACATTGAAAGCGTCATCTAGAAAAGGAGACGAGTGTCAGGCCTGTAGTGTTATAGTTTCTAAAACGGATTCAGCATTTGAGTGCAATTTTGACAAACGATGGGTACATTGGCATTGTGACAAAGAGGTGCCTAAACCATATTGTGAGTTTATGCGAAATAACCCGTGCCTATGATCCTGGTAAATCTGCCCATTTTGTCGTCCTTGCAGAGTCTCAACAGCGTGTGTGCGGATAGCAGAAACAGTACGCCACTTTTGTGTCTCTACACAGTCTCATGCAGCTCCACCTGATAATACCACTCCACCAAAACTTGATAAAAACCGTAAGAAGGATACTCCAGCCCAACCAACTGGATATACCGATCTCCATAAAGTGAAGACCTTCAAGGTTACACCTACAACAACAGAGGAAGATGAAATTGCCAAAGCACCACTTGCATCCACTAGCAAGCTTGGCAACATAGCAAAGGCTAGTCAGAACCTGGTGAAGTGTCAAGTGACTGACCGTGCAAAGGAGGACAAGCTGCCAAAAGGCAAACCTAAGTCCGAGGTCAGACAGTCTAATTCCCTTATCCTGTTTAATGTACCCGTGCGCAATGATAGCTTGCTTAAACAAAGAGCTCTGTTTGTTCAGGAACAGTGGTCCAACCTGTGCAATAAATTAGGTCTGAACATTAGTTCAGTGAAATTGTACAGGCTATACAGGGGTGTCCACACGCCTCAGGGTAAGCCACCCCCATTAAGGGTTACACCGGACTCTGCCGAAGAGTACTATTAATGGCTCAGGTACTAGCCATCGACAGAAGTTCGAACATAAGGGTGAGACAAGACAGACCATGGGCTATCAGACAAATGGCGAGGGAGTCACCGGAACTGATGCCTTCTACCTCTATGGTCGTACACGGTGTTTCGGAGCTGGAAACGCGCACTGCTTGTGAGAAACACATGCATGACGTACAGTGATGTGGATGGCTGTCATCTCAGACGGCCCCTGGTGCTTCGGCAACAATCTCGATTCTCCGGCTTCCTTGCCCCCCTCATCTCACACTGATTAGTTCCCAAAGGCCGCTAAGTGTCAGATTCAACTCCCAAGAGAATTTTGCCCTAGTACTTCAACAGTGGTACGGAACCAAGGGGAAAATCGGAGGACACATTCGATGCTGTGAAAGCAGACCTCAAACCATAAGGAGTCAGCAAACTGAGGCCTTATTACGTCCCTAAGCCTCGGTGACACTAGGGCGATGCCGTACTGGGAATAACAATTAGTGGCACCCAAGTGTCCTACCTGTTACCATGGAAAAAATGACAACAGGCCGGTTCCAATAGAATCGGCCAACTAGTCCTAAAATCAAGTCCCTACCAGCAGACAACGTAACGTCAACAACCCCACAACACGGTGAGGTTGTGAGACTCACTATATAGCCTATATAGCAATGTGAGGGGGCTGAGAGGGAAAGTAGGTGAACTCAGAAACCTTCGGTCACACCCACATCTTAAAATAATCATTCTCACTGGAACCTGGCTAACCCCCACTATCAC